TGGATATTCTGCCAAACCATGAGCGTCGCCACCTGCATGGGCACAGGGGGTGAACCGCGAGCTGCGCGACGACGGCGTTTGGAGGAGGCAGCCCTGAGTCACTCCGCGTCCGGACAGTTAGCCTGGACTTGGATTTTCCAATTTCTAACCGCCCTGAGAGGAAACCCAGTCCATCTAAATCCGCTTTGCTTCACCAGTGCTGTCCTGCCTGAGCGTTAATGATTCCATTCTAATTATACTTTGCATACTTAATGTTTTTAGTGAATTTACTCTTCTTTGTAATTAGATGGAGTGATTAGAATATGCTGTGTTACTCTGGAGTGGTCTGTAACAGACTAATTACCAGTGATGTTGTACGAGGTACTGAAGTCAGGCTGGGGCTCTCAGTCTTATGCTCCCAGACTGTCGTTCCGTAAAAGCCCCGGACAAAGGGAACTGGGCGAGTGAGGGACCCACTCAGATGCGTGGTGGTCCCTACAGCCCACTCACCCTAAGGAGGTTTTGGAGAAGGTGGAATAACCTCTATAGGAGTGTGGCATTTTCACGTCATGTGGCTGCGGGGCTGAGTGACACACCAGGGTCCCACTGGCTGGATTCAGCGGAAAAGGGTGGAAGCAGGGGAATGGAGATGTGGCAGCCATGCTATTGAGGGAAGCAGCACATTTACCACAAAAACATGGTGCTTTGAAGATTTTTGGTGTGTGCACTTGCTGCCAGCCTCATTTGGGTTGTAATTTAGGTTTTGAAGAGGAGGGGAGTTACAGCTCAGGTAATTGCTTCCATGGAACTTGAGGCCTCTGTTGTACAAAGGGCATAATAAAATGGCATTTTCCTTCCTGCTACAGATTCTTTCCATCCAAAATATGTGGAATGAGCGTCTCCCAGATACTCACTGAGATGTCCTAGAGCAAATCGATACTAATGGTGTGGGGGCGACCAGAGCTTTGCCAGAAACAGATTAAAATTCAACTTCCAACCGCTCTGAGGCATCCTTCAGAGGGTTCATTAGCTTGCTGAACTACTCTTCTGCTTCACCTTGGAACATTTCCTTCTTTCCCATCCTTATTAAAATTCCTTAATGCCACTGTGTTTGTGTACTTCACAGGTTTCAGCCTTTTCTACATGGGAAAAAGAGTTACACAAAATAGTTTTTGATCCACGCTACCTTCTACTAAATTCCGAAGAACGTAAACAGGTGGGTGTTCCCTCCAGCGCTGCTTCTGATTGGCAGCAAACATCTCCCAAATTAACCATAATAACAGAGTAATTATCTTGGTAGGATCAAGAGAATTACATAAAAATAAAATTTCTTGTCTGAGTATTTCAAGGAGACTCGTAATTCGGGCTTTGCGCGTCAGAAAGTGCTGCCTCCTTGGAAAAGCACCTGGTAACAAGTGAGTTTGCACAGGGGGAAGAGCTGCAGTCTCTTAGGTTGTAGGGACAACTCCTGCTGAGCCTGGGAAACTGGGCTGTAGGAAGGGAAATAGCCAGAAGGTGATGTTTCCACTCTGAATTATTTAAACATTGAAGAGACACTACTTCATTTTTATGACTTTGAATATTCTCCAGGAGTCTGGCAGTCTTTACTGCTATATTTGCAATAACTGAACTCGCTAGACATAAATGGGGAGAGTGCTGTGGCTAGGCTGGTGGCTGCTTGAATGGGTTTCATTTTTCTGGCAAGCCACAAAGGGAGGTGGACTTTTTGCTGCCTTGCTCATTTGGGCATTAATTATCACCAGGGATCTAACAGCCAAGGGCTGCAGATCAGTCTAAAAAGTTTAGGAGAGATGCAAGGATGTTGCGGAGAAGGTGAATGCTTCTATTCTGTGGTTATTTCTCTTTATTACTAGTCTTTTGTCATCCTGGAGAAGGAAGACTTTTCAATGTGGACTTGTCCATTTTTTAAATAAACACGATGAAAAATGTACTTCTTATTCCTACTCCACTGCACTGGGGCCCATACTGTCTTGGGATTCTCCAGAGAGCTTCCTGGAGGTATTTACTGGGGGACTGGGCACATACATCTTTCGTCCCCTATCCAGTATTTTCTTTCCTAAGAAATAAGTGAAATAAGACAATGAAGAAATATGGGAATGAAAATGTAAGAGAAACCGCTAGGATGGAAAATGCTGCTGGGGAAGAGACTAAGCAGGGAGTTTTGTATGTGTTTCAGGCAACCAGCAAGGACGAAACCCAGACCTTCATGAGTCAATCAAGATATATTACTTCTCTCATTTTATCAGCCTTGGAGATGATATAATAAAAATACATCTTGAATACACATAATGTGCTTGAAGCGCTGCCGAGGGGGACCTCCTTTGTGGGGTGTATTTAATTCTCAGGGAGAGGGTTATGAAAAGCAAGCAGTTGGCAGTGGTGGTGGTGGAAACCTGTAGTCAGGTGGAGGTTGGCTCTGCAAGTGACAGGAACTCGGGCTCAGAGAGTTGATGGAAGAGGGCGGTCGTCGGGTGCCCTCCTGCAAAACAGGGTTAAAACCTGCAAGCTTGGGAGCACATGCCAGGTGTGTGATGCATTTTAGATACTACACTTGAAGCCAAGGCTTCTAGACATTCGTTATGAGTAGTGCCATTTAATTAGACCCCATTTTCCTCCGGGAAGTAGTTTAAGAAGAACGTTAGACAAGACTAGATGCTGGACTTAATGACAGTACTTCTTGAAGTGCCGGTCACATTAGCACAAGACATTATTTAGGTTCATGGAAACATTAACTTCATGGATGCTGTGTGTCCCGAATAGCGAGTAGAGAATAGGAGTGAAGGGATGCAGGAAGGAAGGAGTGCTGGAGCATGGCTGGCTGCACTGCAGTTTTCTCTCCCTGGGCTGGAGAGGGCAGGGAAGTCCTTTTGACCATGGTCTGCAAGTGCCTGAGGGAACTTCCTCTTGACTTGAGCCTGTGTTGGGGTGGGTTTGACTCCCAGGAGCGCCAGCTCTGCTCTGGGTGGGTGTCCTTACACTGTCCAAGGAACATAACGATCTGTATTGAGCGCTGGCAGTTTGCTCCACTTACTGACCAATGTCTTCCAAAGGGTCGTTAACAGATGAAAGATGCTGCTGTGTTTAACCAAGGAACAGTGAAGGGTAAAGGAGCAACTGTATTAGATAATGAGCTGTCTGTTAATTTTGATTTATTACCTTCATGGTAGCTTCACTGTGTCACCTACTTTATTTGTTCTACTTTTCCCAACTCCTGTTATGCTCAACTTACGCAATTCCATGCAGTATAATGTATTCAGCTTTCCTAGGTTTTCCATAATACTTCTTTCATGGCCATTTTTTGATGTTTACTTCTCCGGCGCTATTTCTTCCCTTCTCCACACACCATACTAAATACCAGTTGTAATTTGGTTACTTCAGCTTTCATGAAATGTAGATTTGCACCTGCGCATCCTCGTGGCTGATGAGAAAGCAACCCTGGTAGCAATCGTAGTAATCACGTTTAATGTATGTAATTTGTGGTGAAAAGGATGGTGAATACGGAAAGCTAATAACATTTGGAGGAGCAGCTTCCTTTATTCAGCAGCTTACTGTGCCACACTTTTTAGGGCGTGAAACCAGCAGGACCAGATTTTTGGTATTAAAAATGCGATTATAGCAGTTGGCAGAATTTCGTGAGATAATGAACTCCTGAACTCCTTTTTGAGACACCAAACATCCTGATGTTGAGCGCTCTGCTGCATATTTACCTGCCAAATACTGTTAGAGGAAGGTTGTTGACCCTTCCAAACACATTAAAGCTTTTGGGTGTTTGTGTGCAGAGGATCATGCGTAAGCTCATGTTTTTTGACAACTGATTTGAAAGGTCTTCAGGCTTTTCTGGGGGTAACTGACAGAATATTGATGTTTAGCATTATAGACATTTTCAGGAATTCCAGCAAGTTGGGAGAGATCCAAACTAAATAACTGCAGCCACTTGTACAGATGTACAGAAATAATGCTGTAGGCATGAAAATGCAAGCAAGACGCTGAAGTCAGGAAATTTTGATTTATGTTGCACTCGATTTTGAATGAAGATGTTTATGTGTCCAAATTATACTTTTTTCCAGCTACTGATTTTGTGAGAACACACAATCATGCTGCACAAAGCAGGTTAAACTGCATGCGAGTCAGCCAGCACTGAGTGCAGCTAAGGACTACGGTTCTTGAGATTGAGAGCCCTTTGATCAAGCATAACTACCATGAAGGCTTTGTTAATAAATGCTCTATCTTGTTTCCCTTTCTTGGAAAGATATTTGAACAGTTTGTCAAGACCAGGATCAGAGAAGAGTACAAAGAAAAGAAAAACAAATTGTTGTTAGCCAAAGAAGAATTTAAAAAGCTCCTTGAAGAATCCAAGTTATCACCAAGGTACGGCATTGCCTAACAAAGTTTTGTTAAGATTAGCCTTCTCATTTAGCCTGGGTATGTCGGCCCTGAAACGGCGTAACACTGAACGTACTCGTCAGAGAAACTTGTACATCCATTGGTACAATGGTGTGCTGACATTTCTTCCCTAATATTTTACAATATTTCGTTATATTACTGGGAAGGGAACAGTCCATCTTTCTCTCTGCTCCTTTGTCATTAAGAATGTGTAACATTTTCATAATACTTTTATTTTATATGCATATATATGGTATATTATAGAACAAACACACACACACATATATATGTATACCTGAAGGGGTCCTACAAGAAAGCTGGGGGGGGATTTGTCCAAGGGCAGGGAATGACGGGACAAGGAGTAATGGGTTTAAACAGAAAGAGGGAGATGGAGATGGGACATCAGGAAGGAATTCTTCCTGCAGAGGGTGGGAGCACGGGGACAGGTTCCCAGAGAAGCTGTGGATGCCCCATCCCTGGGAGTGTCCAAGGCCAGGCTGGATGAGGCTTGGAGCACCCTGGGCTATGGAAGGTGTCCCTGCCCATGGCAGGGGGTGGGGCTGGGAAGGTTTAAGGTCCCATGGAACTAGACCGTTCTATGATTCTATGATAAAGATTAGCTATATAAAATGTTAAATCTCATTTATATTAGACATACAGGTATAGCTAGTGAAAAACTACATTTAGATTTGTATTTTGATGGAAGAGAAACATAATTTAACCAAGTCAGTATTAATGCCACATCACCACATCAAAAATAAAGCGTGCAATGCAGTGATTTATTTTTCTACATTGATTTTTTAAGTAATGGATCCAAAACTGCACAATGGTGAATGCAGTGCTTATGATGGCACGTGCTCAATTGGGTATTATATTAAAATAAAGTGATTTATGTATTATAAATCTGGTTGCATTGTTGGAACTAAGAAATTACAGTTTCCTCTACTGCAAGGTGTAGGTAATTGCACAGCACTACCTGCCTAGACACACGGATGCAACCAACACATCAGGCTCTATGGAAGTAATAATTACAAGGCATTTTTTACAAGAAAACTGAGAGTATTCTGGGCTAAAGTAGCAGCTAAACGCTGGTTCCAGCAGTGATATTTTCAGTCAGCAAGGGCAAAATAGTGCTGGCCTACAGAACAGAGAACGTTTCACCAGCTAATGGTTTTGTTGAGCTGTGAGCCCACATCAGCAAGGAAACTCAGCCACCAGCAGGAGTTTCTGGCTTGGTCTGGATAAGCAAGTAATGCTGTGTTTGCCTTGGCGACTGCTGGACCTGACGGCGAAATCCTCGGGCAGCGCTCCCTGGGGATTTCAGTTGAGTTGTGCCCGTCACTCACAGTTACAATTTTTGTTTTCCTGGTTTTAGCAAAGTTCCAGCTGGCGTGGCATTTCACTGGGTACTACTGCCTGTCAAAGCGCGTTTGCTTGCACTCGGACACGCGTGCATTTCCCTGCTCTGTTACAGGCCAGGTGTTGCAGTGCTGGCCCCAAGGACCAGCAGCCGTGGATTAAAGTGGCAGTAACCTGGGCGGCAGGTACGGTGTTAATGACTCGAAAGTGCCCTGCCAACCTTCACCCCGATTCCTCTGAATCGAAAACTGGAAGTTAGCTGTTGTAGGCTCATCCCTGAACCCAGACCCTGGGCAGTTCTGGGATGGTCTCACTGCCCTCTTCCCAGGGTTATGCCATGGTCCTATGAAATATTCCCCAGAACACCCTGTTTCTAATATTTGTATGAAAAATGAGGTGAGACCCAGGTCAATGAGTGCGTGCGGATTGGCAGAGTCAGGGCTTTAAAACGTCTTTCTCTCCTGCAGAACAACGTTTAAAGAATTTGCAGAGAAATATGGACGAGATCAGCGGTTTCGCCTGGTTCAGAAGAAGAAGGACCAAGAGCATTTTTTCAATCAGTTCATACTTATTCTTAAAAAGAGGGACAAAGAAAACAGGATAAGGCTACGGAAAATGAGATAAAAGCTCCTGAAACTGGCAATAAGTACACGCGTCCGTGCTGTGGCTGCAGTAAGAAATTCAAATTAAGGCAACAGCTTGGCGAGGAAGCGGGTATCCCTGGGAAAAACTTTCTCTAAATGGAGTTTATCAAACATCTCTTGCGTTTGTGAAGGTTGTTCTGCAGGAATCTGAAGGATATTTTGTTCTCAAAGAATTAATGTTTCATATTGAAGCTCTCTTTTGTACAACATCCAGAGTTTGATGCATTTCTAATTGCCATGATATGTCAATCCCTTAATTGTTTTAATTATGCAAATTACTTGTAATATACACAAATGATGAATCCAGTGCAGATTTGTAATTAAGCAGAAGCAGATGCCATCCATAACAATCCCAAGATATTTCCATCATTTAGGAGAATTATCTAAAGCAATCTTTTGGCACCTTTATGCATTAACATGGAGTGTTTGGAGGTACGGTGGTAGGCAGGAATTCTCTACCTGGTGTTCATACATCTCTGTCCAGTTCTCTGAGTAGTAGTAATAAGCTATTAATTGTTAATCTTAGTGAAGAGTGTGAAAATCTTGGCATTTGTTCCATAGGCAATCCCTTCAGTTTCAGGAACTGCGCTCTACTTGCCGTGAGCGGTGCTTTCAGGCACACCGGCGGCAGCAGCACTTCTCCGTCAGAGTTCTTAGAAAGAAGTTCTTTTGTAAAACCATCATGGTATGATTTGGATTGTGTTACTGTACGTGAAAAGTCTGCATGAGATTTTTCTCATCATATTTGTATAAATAAATATTTAACTTTTTTAA